CCCCCCCCCCCCCCCCCCCCCCCCCCCCCCCCCCCCACCCCCCCCCCCCCCCCTCCCCCCCCCCCCCCCCCCCCCCCCCCCCCCCCCCCCCCCCCCCCCCCCCCCTATTGGAAAATCTGGATCCGCGCCTGCCATATTCATTAGCGCCCAAGTTCCCGACTACAATAGTCACACTCCCAGGCCTGCACACTCCAAGGCCCAATCGACCGTACACACAAATACATTCTACACGTACCCGTGCAGGCATAGCCTACGCATCCATCTCCTTACGTGTAACCTACTTGTAGCCTACATTGAGAAGTCACACCCTCTGAGCATTACGTAACAACAATATCGCCTTTAAATTACACCTTTCTGTTAACAAATATCATGTTCTTTGAACATATTTTTAAGCCTTATAATGATACTAATTCGTTTTTAACCAGGATATGAACAAAAACATAATAGAAATATTATCAAATATAACAACTTAAACACACATAAAAACTAAACCTTGCTTACCTATAAGCGGGGGTGGAACGGGGTGAAGGTCACGGTTCTAACGCCCGCCACCAACGACCTCCTTACAGTACCGATGTCTTTCCTTTTGAATGTGCTCCGAAATTCCTCTTTGAATTGCCTTCCTTTGTAGAAGCATACTAGTTTGTTTTCACACTTTTCTCCCTATGATCATAGAATAACTCACACTTTGATATATTATTGATTTCTATTTTGTTATTATTGAGTTCGTATTTAGTGTACGTTCCCATTCTTTATCAATGTGTTCTATCACACCCTTTTTACTTTGATACCTATGTTTTTTCTAAACTTTCTAGGAATCAATAAAATGTTCCACAATTTTGATAACTTCCAATCATTTCAATGATAATTTCCATAATTTTTAATAACTTCCAATCATATCAATAATAATGTTTCTCAATTTTGCTAACTCCCAATGTTACCGCATCCATATGACTGTATAAACAGACCGTTTTCTGCACTTAGCATGCATTTATCATACATGCATGTTTTGAACAGCCTGTTTTTTCTTCAATCCTTTCTGAATAATCATAACAACAATTGATCCACATTACCCTATGGTAACAGACATTTTGCTGTTTTTGTGTATCACATAGATCATTTTAGTGCATGGCATTATTGTATGACATAAAATTATTTGCTTTGATCTCCCTCACAATTTATGTGCCTAATATGAGGGTTAATTTTAGTTACACATACATGTTAATGTTTACTTTATCTTTATATTTTGTTTAATGCAAATAATTATGCACCAGTCAATGTAGAGAGCCTCTCGACAGAATTGTTTAAAATTCTTTTTGGCGATCCGCAGGCATTGGCTGGTGCTAAATATCATACTGTTAATGTTATATCATTTTGTCAACCCTGTGATGTTTTCTATGTATTGTTATCATATTGCCTGGAAATAAAAAATAAAATAAATAAATAAACACACAACAAATTTAATTTTAGAGAACTGCGTTAGAATGGTTTAATTTTGACGTTGTGGTTGGTAAAAGAAATTCCGAAAAGACATTGTCCTTAAAAATTCAAAATCAATATAGAATAATAAGATTCTTATTTCTTTTGTGTCAAACATGACAAAAACTTTGCATTTTTCAATACAATTGCATACGTTTTATCTTTTTTTCCAAAAAAAGTTTGTCCTTTTTTTGTCAAAGTAAATTTGCTGAAATAGATGATATTAAAGGTGCAATTTAAATTTTAGTGTAGGCCTTGTCTTTATCTTTTATGAATGTGCATGTAAACAAGCCGAGACTGCCTTAATGTGATGATTTTGAATAATCAACTCATTTCATTACATGCTCGTGTTTAGATAACGAAGAAATTGTTTTTTTTTAATTGATATTTAACATTTGTATAACTTCAAGAAAAAATTCAATGTTTAAAAACAATTATTGTTGATTATACAGCTACCATGTTGATAGGGGAGGTGTTACAAGGCAAACATATGATTTAAATAATACACATTTTACTTGCCGTTTTGTTCTATTAGTGCAGATCTTTATTAGAAACAGAGCATTGTGATATCAATAAAAGAATGAGAGATATTTGCATTATATTCGAGTAAAGTAATAAACTAGCTATAAATAGATTTATATATCCAACTATAGATTTACAATTAAAATTTGAAAAAATGAAAATAACACAAGAAACACGTGTAATTAAAGAGCAAAGGGCCTGCTTGCTTATCCTTTGACCCACTCTTGTGTCACCTCACAAAATATAATCTTAAACCTGACTTAATTTGCCTGTTATTTGCCTTAGTCATATTGGTTATGAATTTTGTTATGAATTTTGTTATATACTGTATATTATACTTTGTGAGAATGTCAAACCACATTTGTATGTATTATTGCCAATGTAAATTGTACATAATTCAGCCATCTGGCTGCGAAGTGCAATTATAATAAAACCTTTTCAAATCAAATCAAATCAAATCAATGGAAATTAATCACGCCACCAACTTTATTTACTCTTATAACCCTATTTTTTCTTCTTAATCATCTTTTATAATCTCCCCCCAAACTGGTCCCTTTTTTGGAATAGATGGGCTACGAAATGGTGTAATCAAAAGGTAGCCTAATAATCTATAATTTGTACAAACTGTCACAAATACATCACTGAACGAGAATCATTACAAATAAAAACAAATTGTAGTCGCAAACTTGCAGGCTATACCGCTATATCTGACACACACTGTAATTACTTCTAATATCTACTAATGATAACTGTTGTAAAGCGATTTCAGATTCTATTTTCAAATCAAATTTTACATTGAGAAATTCAAATTGAATTCTTAATTGCACGTTTAACTAAGACCATATACAGACTCCGATATCTTCATATACGCTACCAGCAGAAGGTGTAATCTATCAATGAGTTTTAAAAATGTAGAATTACAGACTCTTGGAAACTAAGGGCATCGCTAGTAGGCGGGACACCCCCATAATTATTTATCTTTGTTGGTAAAATGAGACTTTCTACACCTTGTTAACAAAGCAATATCAAAAATTCGTTTCGATAATATCCATTTCAAGATCTAGAGAACATGAGAAGCTCCTGTCTTTCGGTTAAAATGTGTGAAAATGTGTGAAACTGTTGAAAATCACAAACAAGTTATTCTGAGTATATGTTTCTCAAATGTTATATTAGAAAAGAATAATCACAAATATAGCAGATATTTCGTTATATTCAAAACGCTGTGCTTCTGATCAAGAAGATAAACAATCGGTGAGAGAAGTACAAAAATATATTACAGTTAAATCTAATATGGAATATAATAGGAATGGATTTGGGAGACAGGGCGCGTGGTGGACCGATAGGTTTAACACGAAACAAATTACATGTATTCATACCTGCTATATTTATTATTCTACTCAAAACATCGACAAAATATTTTCGAAATGAGGATTCAGATCATTGGGGTAAGAGCACATTTTTTTTTTTTTTTTTTTTTTTTTTTTGCTCCCGAATATTTGAAAATTGCGCCGGGCGCAAATTCGCTTGGGGGGGGGGGGGGGGGGGGGGGGGGTGTGGTGCGTTTTTTTTTTTTGGGGGGGGGGCTGGGGGGGGGGGGGCTGGGGGGGGGCTCGTCCCTGTTTGCCAGTCATTATTGGCGAATTTGGGGCTGATTTCTTTTGGCGGGGGGGGGGCACGTGCCCCCTGTGCCCCACCCCCCCCCCCCTGGATCCGCGCCTGGTGACTGACTGACTTGTTTTTTTCTTTGGTAATAACAAACATAAAGTGAGCTTTAAAGGTTATACATGAGCATTGTCTACATCAATAACCCACTTCATGTAATGGCCAACATTAAACTGATTGATTCTTTGCACAGCACGAAATGTACGACCATTCGGTACAAGGGTCTGAAAATCAGACTATTTGATTAAACGACCGCAATCACTAAATTCGATTCGACAACTGACTGTCGTTATTTTCCCACCAAACCCTTTTGTTTCAAGGGAAGTTATTAATTAGTATTATCTTTCAAATGCCGTTGGAATTTACCTTTCTTTTGTTTAGCCTGCTTAAAGGACATTCAAGACACAGGTATTATATAAAATACGATATACTCTCCCGGGGTTAGCTCCATTTGTCCATCATTTGTGGACTTATCCAATGATTTGGTGTAAATGATTCCATCGCCTTGTATATACCAATACAGGACGCCACCATATACTCTGATGCAATCAACATTCTTCCCTTGGTAGTATGTCACTGGAGTAGTAGGTTGGTTTCTTTTGGTGTCTACCGATGTGATGGAGCCATCTAGGCGCTGGTAATACAACAGACCTGGTATTATGATAACGAAACCAGTATTACCAAATGATACATCCCCTGATAAAGCTAAGGTATTCAGGTAACTATTTAAGGTTTTTTGTTTTATCTCTCGTCAGAATTAACTGACAGCGTTACACTATCCAGTACCCTATAGTATTCTCTGACAATTAAGGATAGAAAAAAGTAATCACACTTTGGGACGTCTTTAACAATCCCAAAATTCTCTTACAGCAACCCGTGCAGTAACCTGCACACACCCCTACCCCTCCCCCCCCCAAAAAAAAAATTGGAGAAAATAGAGAGAGAGAGAGAGAGAGAGAGGGAGGGGAGAGGAGAGAGAGAGAGAGAGAGGGGGGGGGAGGGAGAGAGAGAGAGAGAGAGAGAGAGAGGTAGATTCCATGTTTATTTGTAGTATTTCCCTCACGTTATCGGCAAGAAAAAATAGCTAACATGTATGACCACGTCAAAATATGAAATATAGCACCTGAACTAATAAGTTAAATATGTTTGGGTTGCAGAATAATTGTTATATTCACTCAGGGTTTTAGTTTATATTCAGACAACATTCAAAGTTGAACAAGGTGGGGGAGGGAGAAGAGTAGAAGTTTAAAACTGCCATTATTCGAGCAATTAATGTTCACCTCGTTTCCAGGCAAAAGGGTGGTTCAATCTTTATTCATAGACCGGCAAAATTATCAACATACCCATGAATCTTTCTATCAAAAATAGAGGGGGGCGGAAACCGGTCAAACCAGGTGAATGAAATGAGAAAGAACAAGGACGTCGAGAATGGCGAGGTTGTGTAAGGGATCGTAATATCCCCCCCCCCTCATTTTGCCCTCCCATTTCTCTTTCCTCCTACCCCCCCCCCCCCCCATATTTCGTCACCCAATAGGGCATATGCCGTGCGTGTCTTCACTTCATCTGCTACCACCACGGTAGCTACGGCAATGCCCATCAACGCAGACACATTATTCTGTGAAATAGATTGCAGTCACAGGAGGGCAGACTACCTGTTTTGATCACTCACCATTATCGTCAATGTCCGCATGAGTAAGAGGATTATTATCAGCCTTTATATGCTCCGTTTCATAGCTCTGGTTATTAATTCGACGAATTCTCACAATCCCTTTACCAACCAAGTACACAATTCTGAAACAGAAAATTAATTCCAAAACCTTTTTTCATTTTTCAGGTAATAATTCAGTTTAAAGGCCCAGCAAATGTGTTAATTACTATTTTAACAGGTTAGACGGGTACACAAATAACGACAAAGAAATTGAAAAGTGTTCAAATCATTTTTTCGTGATTTAAATCTTAAACAGAAAATTAATTCCAAAACCTTTTTTCATTTTTCAGGTAATAATTCAGTTTAAAGGCCCAGCAAATGTGTTAATTACTATTTTAACAGGTTAGACGGGTACACAAATAACGACAAAGAAATTGAAAAGTGTTCAAATCATTTTTTCGTGATTTAAATCTTAGCCATTTTTATTGATGGTGAATACAGGAAATGAATTGGGTCTGCACCATTTCTTCAAAAAGAAATGTAACGCTTTTCCTCTTTTGTTTGCTTAAATTCATCCCGTTTTACGGCAGGGGCGTAGACAACGGGGGGGGGGGATGAGGGGGATGCATCCCCCCACCTCACAAGGTGGGGGGGATGGCATGTACAATCATCCCCCCAGGTTTTGGGGAATGATATTTGCTTACTTAATAAGTCATAATGATGATAATAATAGTAATAATAATAATGATAACAATTATAATATTAATAATAATAATAATTATGATGATGATAATAATATTCCTATTCATTATTGTAATTGTGTTTATTGTTATTAGCCGCATTCACACGGTGAAAGCCAATTCAGACGGTAAAAAAAAGAAAATCTTACAAGTATTTTGTGGTTATCTTGTGGTTTGGAAACTACAAGATAACCACAAGATTAAACAGGCGCAGATCTACGGGGGGGGGGGGGGTTAGGGGGTTTAAACCCCCCTTGGGCGGCCCAAAAACAAACCCCCAAAAAAGGGGGAAAAAAAAAAAAAAAAAGAAAAAAAAAAAGAAAGAAAAAAGAACGCACGCTGGAGAGAAACCCTTTCAAGTGCAAATATTGTGAGAAGATATTCAACTCATCTGGTAACTTAACCAAACACATGATAACTCTGGATATAACTGTGTATTTAACTGTTACTTGATTTAAAAAGACGTTATCATGCACTGCTTTTTATGGTCTCCATTGTGTTAATAGATGCCAGGAAAACATCACTTACGGGGTTCAAATAAACACCCAAAAAAAAATCGGCTCGCCGCTTCGCGGCTCGTGGACCATGCTCCGCATCGTCATTATTGGTCAACCCCCCCCTTAGAAAAAAAGCTAGATCCGCCCCTGAGTCATCCCCCCAGGTGTACGAACCTGTCTACGCCACTGTTTTACGGTAATTGAATTAATTACAAATGGTATACAGATCCGCCAGTGTTTGACACTATGTAAAAAAAAAAATGAGCATGTCAACATGATTAATGTGGAAATAAAACCTATAAAATGAATAAATAACTAATAAATATCAAAATGCAAAAGTGCAGCAAAGGTAATTTTTTGTGATGTATTTAACGCATTATCTTCGGGTAAAAATACATTGCAATCATTTGGACGATAACATTTCAGACATTTTGTTATTAATAAGTGGAAACTCGTGGTATCAGGTAGAGCACTTGAGATAGAAATCAATGACAACAAAAAAGAAGAAGGTCTGTTTACACGCCCTCGCCCCTATTTTCTCTCCTCTCTCTCTCTCTATCTCTCTATCTCTCTGTCTCCCTCTGTCTCTCTCTCTCTTTATCTCTCTCTCCTTCTGTCTGTCTGTCTGTCTGTCTCCCTCTTTCTATCTCTTCCTATCTCTCTCTCTCGCTTCTTCTCTTTCTCTCTCTCTCTCTTCAAACTGACCATGTAGTGTGACCTACCCTTCACTGTCGATGGTCAAATCGTAGTAAAAGCCTGAGATGTTAAGAGGTTCGATCCAACTCTCTTCAGTCAGCCTACATTCATAAACCGCTGATGTTAATACGCTGGTCTCGCTTTCCTTAGCGAGCCAGTACAGGATGTGATTCTTCAAATCAAGGCGCATCACAAAAAGAGCTAGGAGTCAGCCAAGGCAAATGAATAAATAGTGTTAATAATAATACTGATAACAATAATAATAATAATAATGATGACAATAAATATCAAAACAAAGGCACTCACTCTGGTTCAATTTAGCTATCTGGTTCAATTTAGCTTTGGTGGCAACGTGCGTTCCATTTTCCATATAGATCTCGACGTGTCCAAGAGTTTCATTGTACGCGTAGACGAGTTCATTCTCGTGGTCGAAGGCGATAAGATACATGTTTCCGTGAGCTGGTTTGAATCCCAGTGTATTGAACTTGCTTTTTGAGAAGGAGTAACCGGGCTTGACGTAACCCTTCTGGACTAAGTTCTCATCTGCTTTTACTAAATACACGTGGGCACCTAACGATGAATAAAGCAGATTAGTGGGTGGTTTATCAAGAAAAATGACTCATACTGGCTTTATAATAATTGAGAGGCAGCCCGGGGGGAGGGGGTGGGGGTGGTACTCACATACGGGGGTGTCGCTCTAATGGGTAACCTTTTCACCAAAAATCCCTAAACATAGGTCCGCTTTTTAAAATTTTCTCATTGACACTTTTCAGATATGGCGCGGTTAACCGTCACAGTTTTTGTGTCTTTCTTACATGTATTAAAATATGAATGGCAATTGCGCGCAAGAAAAGCCCTGCATGTATATTGAGCTCTGTGTTATAAGATAAAGAAATGTGACGCGTTTTACAATTAACGTCATCATGAAAACAAAATAATCACCGCGTTTTTGCCGCGTGATATCTGAACGAACTTCATCGTTATAATCAATAATTTCATTATTGTCAACTTGATGAGGGTAGCTTTAGGAAAATGCAGTTTCACGTAAAAGCGAGAAAATTAATGGGAATGCATAACGGCTTAATATGGGTGTATTTCAACATTAACATTTTTGGTACCATTGCTAGCCTATTCATGGAAGTAAGGGTTATATCAGTTGAATTGTTTTACCTCAGTGAAAAAATATTACATAGGATTTTCTACAATGTATATATTGCATTCCAAGCGCCTATTTAGTACGTACCGCTACAGTATACAAATATTGGTTAAAATTTGCCCCGAGGGAAATAATGAGTTCCACCAACTTTTGGATTGCTTCTTCAGTTTAATTTTTTTAACGAAACTAGGGTAATATTTTGCCCTTTGTAAAGTATTTTTAAATTCTTTTCACCCTTAAAAAGTTGAATATTTTAAAAAAATACCCTAGTATGTAATTATGATTGGGCACAATTAATCTCGTGTCGGGCAAACATCTAGCTTTTTGTTGTTTTGGTATTATCATTTCTCTTTAGCGTTTACAGGTCACTATGCAATATCTTATTCGTGACTTTGATGGGGGAAGGGAATTCGGAAGTCCATGCAGCTGTACAGCCTGTACTCCAAATGGCTTCGGTCCCCCTTTAAAAAATTAATAAAATTAATAATGATGAAACAAATTAGCTGAAGATACACATTTTTACCTCCTGGCTCATTTTGTCCAGACTCAGGCTTTAATTCCATCTCATCTATTATTGCAGGAAAAAAGGGAAAAAAGATGAAAATCAGGGACGTGCATCTGAAGAAAACAAAAACTATCAATGTTTACAAAAAGTGGGGTGAGTGGTTTGTCAAAACGGGGTTGTTATACCGAAATAGAGGAACTTTTCTTGTGGAAAATGTAGAGATTTTTTATTCTCAGCAAAGGAAACCTTTACTGCCCATCCCTTCTCACCCCCTCCACAGGAAAAAATATAATTTTTCTGAATGAAGTGGGGGGAAGAGAGCAGAGAGGAAGACACGAACAGAGAAAGAGAGCAACAGAGAAATAGAGACAGAGGGGACTAAAGAGGGAGAGAGGAAATAGAGAGAGAGGGGGTGAAGTGAGACATAGAGAGAGAGAGAGAGAGAGGCGGAGAGGGCGAAGGAAAGGAAAAGGAGAGAGAGAGAGAGAGAGAGAGAGATAGAGAGAGAGAGAGGAGAGAGAGAGAAAGAGAAGAGGGATGAAATGGGGTGGGAGGGAGGGAGACATAATAACACCATCAAAGAGACTTTAACAAAATCATTTCAGGCAAATTTTAAAGCCTTGCAATGACCTTTTTCAAATATGTTAACATTATATTACAATGGCATAATCGATTTCTAGTACGAAATGCTTTTTATTTGATAAACAGTGGGGCTTTTAAATTGTCTTCGAGTTGATTTTCCAAATGTCTGTGCGATCATTTTGTGTTTCGAATAAACTTGTTTTCTACAGGTAGGCCTAATCTGATAATAGGTCAAATATTAACTAAATTGTCTTCAAGCTATAGTGTTATTATTAGTAGTACTATTACCAATGTTATTATTATTATTATTGTTATTATTATTATGATTATTGTTATTATCATTATCATCAGCACCATCATCATTATCATCATTGTTATCGCTATATTTATTATTATTATTAATATTATTATTATTACTAATGTTATTATTATTATTATTGTTATTATTATTGTTATTATTATGAAATCTAATGGCACACTCACCTGGTTGATAGCACACGTAAAGCTTTTGAGAGGGTTGATCATTGCCAAGTTTTTTTGGAATCGCTGGTCGGAGCTTTATAACTGTTCCAGGATTGACCAGTTTTGGGATTAGCTTCACTTCGTTCTCAGTCCAATCCCTGCCTGTCTTACACACTATCCTTATGACACATGTACAACTCGTCCCTAAGATAAAGAAATATAAAAGCATGACCAAATTTTCTCTGTTGGTTATTCATTTTACTGTTCCGGACTAGTCTACCTTTTAGTGCCCATCCCACTCCCCTTTTCTGTTTGGTTCTCTCTCTCTCTCTCTCTGTCTCACGATACATTTTTTTTCAATAATTTTTTTTATTGATTCCAAACAATACAAATTAATTTTAGAAATAAAATACAGTTGTTTTTCCTTGACATAATTAAAAACATTTTCATTACATAGATTGTACAATTGATGAAAACAAAAATGAAATCAGTTGTCACATAAAACAAATAACCCCATCCAACCAAACACACTATATACTACCCACCCCCCCCCCCCCTCCCCGCCATGCGATACACACACCACCCGACCACACTTCCACCACACACTGTTCTTATAGCCTCCTCATGAATACTCCAAATTGGAGCGACAGACAAACAGAAACAATCTATTTAAAACACACACACATACACGCACGCACACGCACACACACGCAAACACGCACACGCACACACGCAAACATACTAGCAACACACACACAGCCACCCACACTCCTTTCTCCCTGTCTATGTCTCAACAGATGTTCCTTTAATTTGTTTTTTCTCTTTAAGTAGATTTCTATTTCTGATGTCACGGTAATATCATCAGTTTGTTTTGTACATTATGTAGGCTGAATTTAAAAAACGACGTTCAACGTGTAGCCCTACAAACAAAAACTATTTTTTGACTTGATTCGGGCCCTATAATACTCACCAACGAAGTAACATGAAAGTAGAAAAATTAAGTGCTTTCCTGCCTGGAGAAGATCATGTAAAAAAAAAAAAAAAAAGAGACAAATATAGAACAGTATTCAGGTGTGGCTAACTCAATTAGAATATCAAAAAATATATAAATGTCATATTATTATAATATAACAAGACATTAATCATGATAACATTTGTAAACAATGACAGTAATAATGATAATAATAATAATATTGATAGTACTAATGACAACAATAATAATAATAATAATAATAATAACAGTAATAATAATAATAATAGTAATAATAATAATACCTATGACAATAAAACCATCGAATTGAATTCTGTGGTCCATGAAAAGTAACAAAATTAGAGCTAAACATTAACAAAATACTCCCTTTAGCCAATTAAGCTAACTACCTTTTATGACAATATCCATTTTAAAACGGTCCTTTTTGACGATAACATTCCCAACACGGAGAAGTTGGTAGTTTTTTAGATATGTGCACGAGTAATAGTCCTGTGATAGTTGTCCTAGTGAGTAATTGTCTAGTGAGTAATCGTCGAGGTGGTAGTCCAAGGGGTTAGTATACAATTAAAAAATGATGTTGTGTAACATGACTTTACTAATGACCGGTCATTATCAAAATTACGTGTACGGCAAAATAAATGCCTGGTCACGCGTACGCTCTCAACCAATCTTTTGATTAGGATCCACGTCATCATCTTATAACTCACCATCTTCTCCTAATCTGAGCATGAGATTTGACTGCGTTTATGTATCTCCAGGAAAGCTGTTTAATATGATACCGAACCCTTCAGTCAGAGAAGTTATTATGTTCTCATCGGCCTTGTACTGGGAGCGTAACAAAGACTGGCGACAATCTTTATTTTACTTCTCACATTGTTGAAGTTGAAAATATCGAGGAGCTTTGGATATTATCACGATTTCCTTTTATTACACGATATTAAAAAGTGTAATGTTCACAAAAGGCAGAACAAGATAAACTGTTTGCGACAATAAAAACTGTTTGCAAACTGTCTTGCAACTTTTAACGAACCTTTAGCAACCTTTAACGAAGAGTTTGCAACCTTTATCGAACCCTTTGCAACCTTTTACGAACCCTGGTGAAGCCCTAAATTCGCTGCGTTCGAAGGCATTCGCCGCTCAGTGAGATGCTCTGATAGTTGTCATTATTGTGTCGTAAAGTCGAAGACTGGCGACAATCTTTATTTTACTTCTCACATTGTTGAATTTGAAAATATCGAGGAGCTTTGAAGGTTACCCGACCTTAACAATTTTTCGTCATTTAAACATGAGCATGTACTGAATACATGTACATTCATATCATGCGAGATAAAGAACTGGTTTTCACCTGAATATAAATTGCATAAAAAAGGACAACCATTCTAACTTCTTACTGCCTATTGAACAAAAAAACAAATTTAAAAAATGTCTTGATAATACGCATTCTTCACAATTTTTCAAAACAATGAACTGATTTGGCTGTAATGGTCGTATGGCCAGGAAAAAAGAAAAAAGCAAAACAATATAGGGCATAACACCCCCCCCCCCCCAATCTCCAGTGCTGCCAATGCCCCTGTTCACAAGCGATGTTGATTAACTAACGTGTGATGTTATATTTTTACCAAGGCCCTATTTTATATACAAGAATATTTAAAATATAAATTCTAGAAGGAACGCAGTATTATGGCATCATAACTTCCAAAATTGCTGTGAAACCATGCGTACAAAAGCAAAGTAAAGTAGATTTCATTGCACGATCTTATGTCTGCATCTCATTACTGTAGACAATAAGAAACAACGATGACGATGTGTATTTTCCTTCGCACATGAGTTGAGAAAGTGTACTAGACGCTCTTAGTAGACAATA